GAAAAAATTCATCTTTTGAATTCATATGATTTATTGGCCTTTGACAAGATACATCAGTAAACATCTAATTCTCAAGAGAAACACTAGAACCTAATTCTAGAATATTTGCTTGATTGGTCTTCATTTTCAAATACCTCAGACGATAAAATACGTATAATACAACAAGTATATTTGTTACTGATGTCAAAATCATTAAAATATACAGAACTTCGAAATTTGTAGCTTCGTGTTGTTCGTTAATAATATCGTCTTGTTCCTTGGTAGTAGCATTGACGTGAACAGTTCTCACAACTTTTTCAGCAGATGGCTTCGTATTGATTTCAAATGTTCGACGATTCATGAAAAACTTGTAAAAATTCGTGTTTTTGAAATCCGTATTGAAAAATTCGTATACTTTACTAAGGTCAGGTCCATCGCTGTAAGTATGATTCATTGGTTTACTGTAATCTATTGTTATCACATCCTCACATTCAATTCCGTTTATGTTATGGGTATGAGTTGAACTGCCATCAAGAATAGAGATCGAATTTTTTTCCAAAATATGAACGAGTGCCATAAGTTTAGAACAAGTCCATAGATTTTTATCCAATGCTATTTTGTTGAGGGCTGGTAAAGTGGATACAAGGACTGATCCATCAATGAAGTTGAAATTATTTGCATTCAAATGCAATTCTTCAAGGTTCCTTAGGGAATGGAACATATAAATGTCCAAAATTGAAAATTCATTGTATGACAAGCTCAGAAAAATCAGCTTCTTCAATGAGTCCAAGGTACCATAAGGAATTGTCTTGAAATAATTCGATGATAGGTCTAAGTGTTCCAAATTCGATAAATTCTTGAAAATACCGTGTTTCAAGACACTCAATTTGTTGCTTTTCAAATCTAGAACTTTCAATTTAATCAAACGATCGAATGCATCCACTTGTATATCAAAGATCTTGTTGAAACTCAAGTTGAGATATTGGACGTTCTTACAATTTTTAAATAGACTGCTGTTTATATAGTCGATATTGTTCCTGCTCAAACTCACAAAAGTTAGGTTAGGATGAATATCGATATTGACTTGATTTAGGCTGTTTCCATCCATCTTCAATTTACGCAAGCTTTCGAAGGAGCTTTGATTCAAATGGAACACTGATCTGTTTTCGGTTGACGATACTCCCAAATCGGTCAGCTCTGTCAATCTGGAGAAAATGTTATAATTGAGAGGTTTTTCGAGAGGATTCAGAGATATATCGATGGATTTCAAACGTATATTGTTTTTGAACAATTCATCGGATATATGGATAATTCTATTATTGTTCAGGTAAACGTACTTGAGTTGGATATTTGCTAAAAATATTGCTTTATCTACGGCTTCAATTTGATTACTCGATAAGTCTAGGTATTCTAAAAGAAGTAATGAATCAAAAACGTTAACGGGGAGTTGCCTTATTTCATTGTTGTTTAGTAGTAGGTGTAGTAATCTACTCAAAGAAATGAAAGCATGATCTTCTATATCTTCAATATGATTGTTCTGCAAGCTCAAGTTTTTCAATGATGAAAGCTTATAAAACGTGTTGCTCTTGATCGTTCTCAATTCGTTATGGCTTAGATCTAGGACTTTTAAATTATCCAGACCGTTGAAGACTTTTGGTACTATTCGAGCTATATTCAAATTTTTCAAATACATTTCTTTGAAATTCGTTCCGACCGACATTTTCGAAGATAGGATTTCGATGGTCGAATGATTGATAGTGAGTCTTTCGGAACTATAAAGATAGCGTTTGAAGGATATGTCTGTGAGTGAATCATTCAAGTTATTCTGATTGATATTTATGCAATAGAGTTCCGGGTATCTGTTCTCACACTCTTGATTGGATTTGCCAGCCAGTATCAAAATCATCACAAGGAAGATCTGCACGTTTCCCTAGAAAAAATAATGTTATCGAGATTTATTATATATTCTCATAGGATATCATATAACAAATTTTGGAAAAATAATATTGACTGTGAAATCATAGAATTATCATGCCTCAGAAAATGAACCAATGCACATCAGATAAATCCATTATTTCCACATGAAATATACTTTTCAAGAATAGGTATCATAAAATGAAATTTTCTAAAACAGAAGCAAACAAAAACTTTATGAGTTGAAATCAAAATGAGACTGAAAACTGTATTGACGAGAGACACATACGTATGAGAAAATAAATATGTCAAAATGAAATTTCGAAAAATTCGAGTTACGGATACACTGCTTTGGGTTGGATCTTTCTTAGCAAAACACCTAATACCTCCAAAATCGAGATCAGCCTCTGTGGGGAATCTTGCATAATTCAATGACCATCGTGGTATTAGCCAGGTAAATAGCTGTTTACCGGTAGGTGTTTATCAGAATCTATTGTGTAGATACGTTGAAAGAGATTAGTCTTTGGAAATATAATTCAAAAATATTAATTTTTTCTATCTCTACATTCAATAAATAATCAAATTCGAAGTAAAAATTCGACAGAGAAGGCATACAAACAATCTGAGAAATTTGTGTAAGCTATGGGATGCATTGATAGTAAAATACGTATCCATTTGTTTGAAGGTGGTTGACAGCAAATCAGGAATAGCAGAACATGTTTGGACTCATCAACATAACATCAAGTGGGCTCGAGCTGAAATCATCCACAAGAAGGAACACTGGTTTAGAAGAAAATTCGAAGAAGCCGCGTATATGTTGTCCAACAACGCATTTAGCCAAGCTAGCATAGAGATACGTAACATATGGAAACCCCTAATCAAGCGGAACACGACCAACTCACGCCAAACGGTCAGCTCCCGCTGAAACCAATGAAGCGAAGAGAGGGAAGAGGGGATAGGTGAAAGCACTCAAATGACCTATAAATAGTCAGATCTCGGAGTCCAGTTATCACCCGAAGACGATTGTAGATATTAACAATCGAAACGTCGTGAAGTAACTTCGTTTGGAATCTTTTAATTTTTAATTTTCATTTCTTGTCAATGATAATTTTGTTACATTTTCAGCTCGTGTTGATAGTTCTATTTAAGAAGTACAAAAATACCCAATTTATCATTCAATATTTTGTCTGAAGATGGTCTCATAGTACAGTTCGAGACAGGAGAGTCGTAATACTGATCGTTTTATTGATAACTTATGATAACCAGTTCCAGCTGTTTCAAATGATTTTTTTCGATACTCTCGAGACATTTCATTTACTGTGATCCATTCATTTTTCCAGTCAATACTGATATTTTCAGTAATTTTCTTTCATAACTTGTTTCAAAATTATTCAAAAAGGCAAAGTCTACTTGAAAAAATAATTATTCATCAATTGTGTGAGAGCTTTGAATTACTATTTTACAATAGTGTAAGTACGTGTGGTGTGGATATTTTTATGTTGTTACACCCGTCTCGAACATATGATTACAGTTTCAGCTGTTTGACATGTACAGTTTATTGGTGAGAGGCATAAAAGTTACAAGTATTTTGCGTATTTCTCGATTATCTGCATCTCATATTGACTATGTATGTAGCAATCTAGAAGAGCAGATAGAGTCGTGCACAGTTATTCTATTCGGGTTATCGGATCATGAAGCCGTAACATGTTCTGTTCTTCTAGAGTCGCCAAAGAAACATACCATATGTAAACATGGTAGACTATATCGGAATTGACTGGGAGAGCACTCTGACCAAAAATAATCATTTCTTATCATTTCACAGCATGTTATCGGACGTACAGAAAATCAAATCGAAGCGTAAAAAGCCGTGGGTGACGAAAGGACTGAAAAATTCCTCAAAATACTTACGCTCACTGCATTACATTAGGAAATTCACGAATGACCAATTTATCTGTATGTACCTCACGAGGTACCGAAAAATTCATAAATCAACTATCAGGTTAGCAAAGAAAATGTATTACAGAAACAGGATTGGAGAATCAACTAACAAAATTAAAGAAACTTGGTCCATAATAAATGACCTCAGACGAAAATCAAAGAAAACAAAAGTTGATATCCCATTGAATCCTAAAAAAATAAATGAATTCTACTGCACCATTGCTCAAAAGCTAAGCAGCACTATTCGCGTGCCCTATGATCCTTTATTCAATCTAGAAAATATTAATATCGATGATAGCCTCATTTTGTATAACACAGATATTCATGAATTAGTTGAAACCTTGAACGACATCAGAAATAAAAATACCGCTGGGTATGATGAGATTTCTGTAAAAATACATTTGAATCTACCAGTGAATGCATTGGAAACTTTAGTTAATCTCATTAATGCCTCCTTCGAAACTGGCTCATTCCCTCCTTCTTTTAAGACTTCAATTGTTATTCCCCTACATAAAGGTGGTGATTTGCATAATCCCTCCAATCTCTGGCCCATTTCTCTGATTCCAACCTTAGCGAAAATTATTGAAAAATCAGTGAATAAACGATTGAATGACTTCCAAAACTTGCATGATATCATGAGTAATAACCAATTTGGGTTCCAGACGGAGGAAGATACAAGTGATGCAATATTCTCTTTCCTTTATAAACTTCATTCAGAAATAAATGCTGATGGAGTAGCTGCCGCAATTTTCTGTGACCTTTCGAAGGCTTTTGATTGTGTTAATCATGAATTATTACTCAAAAAACTTCACCGGTATGGCTGCAGAGGGGTGACGTACAATTGGTTTGAATCGTACCTCTCAGGCCGAAGTCAAATGGTTAGAACATCGGAACTCTCAGAAAGCAGGGCGATCACATATGGTGTGCCACAGGGTTCTGTGTTGGGTCCGGTTCTGTTTTTGTTGTTTATTAATGATTTGACTATGATAAATATATCTGACAGCTTTACTCTATTCGCAGATGATACAACAATATTGTGGAAGGAAAAAACCCAGAAGAGCTACATAAAAAGATATGATCTGATTTAGAAAAGGTGAAAAAATGGTATGATGCTAATTTATTAGGCTTGAATATCTCCAAAACAAATATAATAACATTTGAATGTCTGCTGAATGAACTGTCAATAGACAATGCTATCTTGGAAAACAAATTGAACACAAAATTTCTTGGTGTCTATATTGATAATAGGCTCAAATTTGATGAACACGTCAGGCAACTCAAGAGTAAAATCTCCTCCGGATGTTATGCAGTGAGGGTGATTTCTAACGAGCTGGGTTTTCACACAGCAAAAACGGTTTACTACGCTTTAATTGAATCCCATATAAGAAATGGAATACCATTTTGGGGAACATGCAGTGCAACCCTTCCCTCATATGTGCTGATATTACATAAAAGGGCAGTAAGATGTCTCTGTGAAGTCGAACCTAGGGAATCATGCAGAAATTATTTTTTGCCAATAAGATTTTAACCGTCGTTGCACTGTTCATTCTTGAAACTGTATGTTTGGTGCACAAACATACAACGGAGTTTAACTTTGTCTCTTCTCCTTATGCTACTCGTAATAGCACATTCAATATAAGACTTCCTATACCTAACTCAACATTAATCACGGATTCCATTTTTTATAATGGTGGAAAATTATTCAATCACTTACCAGTAGATTTAAGATCTCCAAATCTGACCAACGTACAATTCAAGAAAGCAGTTAGAAATTTGCTAGCTGATAGACCCTATTATAGCTTGCAAGAGTATTTTGATGAATCATTTTAAAAGTGTATTCCATTTTATATTCATTTTTATTGTATTTGTACCTGTTTTGTTCAAACGTTTATTAATTGCCAGTTTTTATCTATACACCATTAGTTATGCCTATATTTATACCTACCTACGAAGCTTTGTCGATGGGATACAAAATCTTCTGACAATAAAGTATATTTTGATTCGATTTGATTGATTTTGATTTGTTTGGTGGCCTCAGCCACCGTATTCACCAGATTTGGCCCACTGAGTTTTTTATGTTCCAAAGGTTGAAGCGACACATAAAAGAACGGAGTTTCGCGACGATTGAGAAGATAAAAACCAAATCTCTGAGAGAGACCAAAGCCATACCAAAAAGTGCATATCAGAACTTCTTCGAGGATTGGAAAAAACGCTGGCATACGTGCGTCATATATGAGAAGGACTACTTTGAAGGAGAAAAAATATAAATTGATAATTGAATAAATATTTTCCGAGAAAAAAGAAAATCCACATTATTTCCTGAACAGAGAAGTATATGTTCCTCGGGAAATAAATTGGTTATTATTATAATTCAATAAACGATCAGTAACAACTATTATACGCACTACATTTCTGTTATCAATAAAATGGTCTGAGAGGTGAGCAAACTTACCAAAAAACGTATGAAGTCATTTACGACAAAATGTTTGATGCCGTTAATAAACATTCTTCGAACTCTGTGAGAAAGCAGTATTTGGAATATCTCTTAGTAGGTATAAAGTACCAAACGAAATGTGAATACTTGACTACAATTTAAATATGAACTGTTTTTTGATATGTATGTTATATAATGATTCTTCATTTTCTGTTGGCTGATTATTGTTATCCTGATAACTTTGCTCTTGGCGGAAATCAGTGGGTACAATGGAATATTATTTTTGTCCTCTCAAACATTCAGATTATGCAAATCACGTAACTTCCTACGCTTCATAATTATCTTATTGTTTTGCTACGATAAAATTTTCAAAAGTACAAAACTTGACAACCAGAAAATTAGCACACCTTTTTTACTCTGAATTACTAATACTGATAAAGGATCAAACTAATTTTTCAGTAGTGTATCATACCTACTACCTGCATTCCTTATTGGAATTCGATAAGTCGGGCTATCAAACTCAGTAGAAAAATAAATGCAAACCGTCCAATGATATTATAGTGAACTACTTCTGTGAAATAATTTGCGGCTCACTGGTCCCATAAAGCCCATTGGAACGCTCTCGTATATTCGCGATCGGGCCCAAACGCGATTATATCGTCTGCTAGCTACTACATGTTAATAGTGACGATATGACGTCACAATATGTTGCTGGAGTAAGACTAGTGGCGGGTCATGCACTACCTCGCCTTGTTAGTTTTGCCACGGGCGTAACAATATGCTATATTATCTGCATTGATCATTTCGTATATTTTTCTGAAAACTCTACCCTGTAGCAAAGGGAGACCAGTCAATGTCACCAACGAAACTATCGTTACTCTGGGCACTATCTCGGTTTATAATAAGGCTGGCATACGCGTGTTTCGCAATGGAATAGCTTCTTAAGGTATGTCTTTACTAACTTAAATCTACAAATGCAATGTTTTATATATGATTTCACAATTTGAAGTAGCTACCTGAATTTTAAGTACTTGAGTTTCACCCAGCAAATTAATGAATATTACTGGAGCCCTCTTTCTTTTGAAGATGATCACTTGGTGATCGAAACACGTGTCGAGGTGTTAAAGTAACGAATTGGTGTTGGGAAAAAGCTCCAGTAATTTTCATTACTACAACAAAGGTTCCAAACAGTGCATCACAAGTAGCTAATCAATGTTGAATGTGTAAGTAACTGAGTTTGGAAATAGCTCAATAAATATTTAAATAATAAAAGGTGATGTACAACCTCATTTAAATAAACCTGTAATGAATGGAATTACCTGAGTTTATGTATCAGTTAATTACCAGTATTCATATTTGAAAAAAGGCTCAGTAACGGGAAGAAACTTAATTCTATTTGGTCATTCATTCAATTATGCGAATTCTTAAATCTAGTTTTTTCGAACCTCCTGAGAGATGGAGTTTCAAACTCTCCTTCTCTGAATGTAACACGTCGTAGTCATGATTGAACTCATATCCTTTTGCTGAAAGTTGTTTTGTAGATGTGGAATTGGCCTTTCCATTCAAGAAACTACTTCTATGCTCTTTAGTTCTTTAGGAAAAAGTTCTCCCTGTTTGGCCAATATAAAATTTTGAATAAGAACCACAGGTGAAGTTATATAATACTGATCTATCCGACATTGAAGTTTTCTTTTCATCAGGCAGCTCCCCCCCCCCAATCACAACCAATGTAAAAAAAACTAATGTAAACCAACTATAAATGAACGTCTTGAACTTGAATGAATTTGCTTAAACTATTATTTGTTCTGTAATTCAAGTTTCTTGGAATATATGATAATGTCCTATACCAGACGCAGTGAAATATTCAATAGTGTGTGAAGTATACTATTGAATAGAGCTACCCCACACAGCACTAGATATTCATGGAATATTCCCTGCATATCATAAAACGAACGTATATATTCCAAATATTCATAGAATATTCTTGGAATATATACATGCCTTTAGAATATTCATAGAATATGCTTGAATGAATATGGCAGGATTATTCCCGAAAGAATGTGCATAGAATGTCTATAAATGGATTATTCTCCCTTGAATATTCTAAGAATATTGTCGATCGAATATACCATATGGTATATTCTTAGAATATATCCCCACGGTATATTTTGGAATATTCTATACAATGGAATTTTGAATTATCTTATAATAACGTATTCAAATAATTCAATATTATTAAAAACAAAAATATTTGAAGA